CCCCCCCCCCCCCCCCCCCCCCCCCGCGCGCGCGCTATGCGTGTAGGTTCCTGCAAGACTTGGAGGACAAGCGGAGGGACGAGGAGGACGAGCGGTCTCGCAAGAAGGACGAGGCCAAGATCAAGAAGATGATGAAGGCGAACCTGCCACAGCAGATCCTTGCCATCAACGCCACCAACGACCCCATCCCCATCCGACGCAGGTACAGGGGGGGAGTGGTATCTACCGTACCTAGATCCCAAACGTCCAAGGTCCATATCTGTGCGTAGATACAGATTGCGCCCGCACTTGAAAGAACCCAGGAGTTAAGAAATTGAGCACCCTTTGTGAGCTCGGTTAAGGACCCCTACACTAAAACCTATATGGTATACTCCGGTTAAGAAACCCCACACTAAAACCTATATACTCCGGTTAAAAAATCCTACACTAAAACCTATATATACTCTGGTAAAGAACCCCTGCACTAAAACCTATATGGTATACTCCGGTTAAGAAACCCCACGCTAAAACCTATATACTCCGGTTAAAAAACCCTACACTAAAACCTATATATACTCTGGTAAAGAACCCCCACACTAAAACCTATATAAACTCTGGTAAAGAACCTCCACACTAGAACCTATGTACTACGGATAAGAACCCCGACACTAGAACCTATGTACTACGGATATGAACCCTTACACTAAAACGTATATAGCGATCATTCGTAGCATGAAGCTAGGAACCACTATCCCCAACCTCGGTCGAAACTAGGAGCTCTTGAGTGCGGGCGTCATTTGCGGACCCTTTTCTTCTGTGCAGGTACAACAATCGGTGTGTTATCTACACGCCGAAACCCAACGTCACTTTTCCGATTTTTTTCTTGTTTTTTTCCGTCTGCGTTTGTCTCGTCCTCTCTTCTCCCTTCCCCCAACCAAATTTAGAACGGCCGGGGTGTTTGGGCATACTTTCTCATTTCGTGTGCCAGCGAACGTTGCCCTGCCCCCCCCCCCCCAAATTTAAAATGGGTCGGGGTGTTTTGGCATACTTTCTCATTTCGTGTGCCAGCGAACGTTGCCCTCCCCCCCCCCTCCCCGCCCCCTGCATGCGCTTCTTAACCCACACTCCTCCCATGCTGGTGTTGCAGGACGGAGCTCAGCCTCCCGGCACCTCAGGTCAGCGATGGGGAGCTGGAGGAGCTGGTCAAGATGGGCGCTCAGGCCCAGGCGCATGTGAGGGAACGCATGGAAGACAAAGCAACCAAGATTTAATTGATGAAGCAATACAGTTCTACGTAGGTTGCGTGAGGTATCACACCCCCTGGACCGACTTTCAAAGCTTGATTTCTCGGCGGGGAGAAGCAGTAGCGGTGCCGATAATGGCGGGGGGCGTTGGAAACCGTCTGGTCGAGAGGTTTCCGGCCACGTACTCTTTGCCTTCGGCATGCTCCTCCTCCTCTTGGTGGAGTAATTGAGGAGCTTTGAAACTCGGTCGGTCCAGGGAGGGCGGTTTCTTACCTCATGCAACCTTATTTCCTTATTTTGAAGATTTAGGACAATACGTAGGCGATAGGAAGTCGCTACTCGTAGACAAGTGAAATTGTGACGACGGAGAAGGCAAGTTTGTATTAGGGCCAGTACCATGCGCCTCTGTCCTGCTGTTCTTCAAGCCACACGGGGGCTATCTACCAACACGCATCTTTTCTCTCATTTTTTTTTTTTCTTTTTTTTTTCAGGCCGCTGGAGGGTCGACGTCTGCACTGCTAGGGGACTACTCCGAGGCCATGCCCACGCCTACTCCCATGCGAACTCCCGCTACGCCCGTCGGCGAAGACGTCGTTATGCAGGCGAGTAACTTTTTTTTTTTTCCGTCGTTCCTTCCATATTTTTATTTTCCCTATTTTTTTCTCTCAACAGTTAAAATTGATCCATGTTCCACAGATATTTTCTTTCCTCTTACGAATATTACTTCGAAGTATTATTTTTGTTTTTTTATATATTTTTTTCCAGGTAACAGTGGTGTGTGTTTCGAAAGGTGTTTTTTTTGTCAGGCATTCTTCTTGAAGAAAATTTACGTGCACAATAAAAAAGAGAGCATGTACCCGTTCGAGATAATACCACTGTCGAAGGTGATGTGATAAGAGTTTTTTTTTCTTTTGTCCTTTTCTGTGTTCTTTCGGGATCTGTTTTCTTTGGTACATGTTGTCAAAGAAAACATACAACACGCACAATGAAAGATTGAATACCCGTTCGAGATAATACCACTGTCGAAGGTGATGTGATGAGACTCTCCGCAGCGCATGCGAGCAAACCTTGCTTTGTTTTAGTATTTCTTGTCCTTTTTTTGTGTTATTTCGGAAATTGTGGGTGCGGAAGGACGGTTGCTTGTCTCACGGCACAGTTGTAGGCAGCAGAGAAACGAAGCAAGAGTTTCGGAATCGGGGCGACCTCTCTCGCAAAATGGCCCGAGTGGGTTTAGGCCTGTGTATCTTTCATGACCTCTTGGAACAGCAGCCGTGGGTGGTGATGAACGGATGGCGTCGGGGGTGTGTGTGGGGCTGCTTTTGCGCTTTCCCTTTTGCCCTCGAGGGGCCACTTTCCACTCGCCGACGGGTCCCCGTGATGCCATGCCGAACCCCCCTTTACCCACACCCAGATGCTCCATTTTTTGGCTGCTGTTGCGGACTTACAGCAGTATCCTTGATGCACCCCGCCCTCTTCACTCCTTGTTGTGTTCTTTCGGCCGGCACTCGCAACAGGAAGCGCGCAACCTCGCTGTCCTCTCCTCTGGACAAACGCCCCTGCTCGGCGGCGAGAGCCCTCACCTACAAGAAGGGACCGGCTTCGGCGGCAGCGCGCCCAGGCAAAACAGGATGACCACCCCCAGCGCCATGGGGGCGGGGGGCGGCGGCGGCGGCGGCGGCGGCGGCGGCGCGGGGGGGATGGGAGGCTCTACCCCCGTGCCGGGGACGCCTTCGACGGTGGGCGGGCTGACCCCCGGGGGGGGGAGGGTAGGGGGACTAGCTATCA